ATGTATACTGAGACTAGAGAGGTCTGTATGCATACTGAGACAGGAGAAGTATGTATGTATACTGAGACTAGAGAGGTCTGTATGTATACTGAGACAAGAGAAGTCTGTATGTATACTGAGACAGGAGAGGTCTGTATGTATACTGAGACTAGAGAGGTCTGTATGTATACTGAGACAAGACAGGTCTGTATGTATACTGAGACAGGAGAGGTCTGTATGTATACTGAGACTAGAGAGGTCTGTATGTATACTGAGACTAGATAAGTCTGTATGTATACTGAGACAGGAGAAGTATGTATGTATACTGAGACAGGAGAAGTATGTATGTATACTGAGACAGGAGAAGTATGTATGTATACTGAGACAGGAGAAGTCTGTATGTATACTGAGACAGGAGAGGTCTGTATGTATACTGAGACAGAGAGAGGTCTGTATGTATACTTGTATGTATACTGAGAGAGGTCTGTATGTATATACTGAGACAGGAGAAGTATGTATGTATACTGAGACAGGAGAGTGTATGTATACTGAGACAAGACAGGTCTGTATGTATACTGAGACAGGAGAAGTATGTATGTATACTGAGACAGGAGAGGTCTGTATGTATACTGAGACAAGACAGGTCTGTATGTATACTGATGATACTGAGACAGGAGAAGTATGTATGTATACTGAGACAGGGAGGTCTGTATGTATACTGAGACAGGAGAAGTATGTATGTATACTGAGACAGAGAGGTCTGTATGTACTACTGATGTATACTGAGACAGAAGAGGTCTGTATGTATACTGAGACAAGAGAGGTCTGTATGTATACTGAGACAGGAGAAGTATGTATGTATACTGAGACAGAAGAGGTCTGTATGCATACTGAGACAAGAGAGGTATGTATGTATACTGAGACAGAAGAGGTTTGTATGTATACTGAGACAGGAGAGGTCTGTACGTATACTGAGACTAGAGAGGTATGTATGTATACTGAGTCAGGAGAGGTCTGTATGTATACTGAGACTAGAGAGGTCTGTATGTATACTGAGACAGGAGAGGTCTGTATGTATACTGAGAGACCCATTGGACTTCATGGTCGTCTTCTCCATGCTTAGTCCATTAGACCGTGGTTTTAAAGGGATCCAGACTCTTTCACTCTCCTGGACTTTCATTTAGACCACCTCTGGTTTTTGGGTGTGAAGTCTGAAGATAACCTCGACAGCCACACGCCGAGCTTCACGAGGGATTATCTGATTTACGGCGTGGATTTTGTTGCGTATAGAAAGCACGGGAAATAGATACGAAAATGCTTATGCCTTGTTTCAAATATTAGATGCATGTTAAAAAATACATAGTAACTCTACACTAACCTTATTGGTAGTTGGTGAACGGTCTCATATAGATAGACAGAAATTGATCCCAAATTGTTAGTTAAAAAATACGAATAAATAAATAAAAAACTGAAGTGGGAAGTAGGCCGCATTATGCAACCTTATTACTGAATATTAGAGTAAAAACAACTGAACACCTGAAGGGCCTCATCTGTGCGAGGCAGACAGGTAGACAGAGAGACAGACATAGCATCTGTCTCTCTGTCTAGTCCACAACATGAAAAGTTGCAGACTGAGTGAAACTTGCTTTGTTAATCTTTGTACGACATCCACAAAAGCCACAAAACTTGTGTTACTCGTGTGCTCAGACCCCAGGTTTTACTTAAATCCAAGTTCAACTCCATCATTTCCATAACAGAGATAATAACAGAGGACACCTGCATGGAAGAAAAGATCAAACTATGTGGAACAGGTCGTGTTACTGAGACAGGTCAGACAGCTCCAGGATGATCCTTCCTTTGTGGATGTGGTGGATATTATTACTCAAACACTTAAACAATACACAATACAGATCTTTCCCTCTTGATTGGTTCATTCATTGGAGGAATATAATATATAATGTTCACAAGAGAGACTGTCTCTGTAACTCCAGTACCTCTCTGACCTTTAAATCAGGTCAGACATCTACAGGTAAAACTGGACTTTCTGATTGGTGAAGCGGTGGAGGGCGGGACATCAAAATGAAATCAAAAACAAGATTTAGGGGCTGGAAAAGTAATTTAGAAATTCAAATATCTCTAAACTACTGTTATCAGTTATTAGTATTGGAAAAGAGCATGTTTATTATTATAACAGATTAGGGCCCTTTAATGATGACAGATTAGAGCCCTTTAATTATGACAGAATAGGGCCCTTTATTGATGAAAGATTAGGGCCCTTTAATGATGATGGATTAAGGCCCTTTAATGATGACAGATTAGGGCCCTTTGATGATGACAGATTAGGGACCTTTAAGGGCTCTTCGATGATGACAGATTAGGGCCCTTTAATGATGACAGATTAGGGCTCTTTAATGATGACAGATTAGGGCTCTTTAATGATAGAATAGGGCCCTTTAACGATAACAGGTTAGGGCCCGTTAATGATGACAGATTAGGGCTCTTTAATAATAGAATAGGGCCCTTTAACAATAACAGATTAGGGCCCTTTAATGATGACTAGACATGGAAACCTTACATATTGCTACTTTAAGATGCAGCCAACATAGACTCACATCTACCTTCACTTTTGATTGGTGATCAAAAGTGGTGATTGAGCCCGACGACACATCCCTCTTTATCAGAAACGACACCTGCTTTGTTGCTTTGTTCCCCATAAAATATCAGTTTGAAATCTCCGGAGACGCAGCAGCAGCCATCATGTGTCTCAGTCATACTTTCTTCATTTAGGGCCCTTTCCATTGTGTATTTAATATTTATAGAACACACAACAACAGAGACACAGAGGGGCATTCGTCAGGGACTCGGAGGCAGGGGCTCGGGCTCATTGTGGTCACGGCCGAGGAAACAATCAAATAGCAGCTGGTCACGGACAAGAGAATGGATTAGAATTGTTGTTTCTTTTTACATTATGACTACAGAGAAAAAAGTAAAATAAGTAAAATACTGCATAAAAATGATCTGAGAAGGCTGAGAGTCACCTGAGACGTCCTCATTGATTGTTTTTATTATAATCTGGAATTTTAACTTTTGTCCAGGACTTCCTTGAAAAAAGAGGTTGTGTAGTCTCAATGGGACTTTTCCTCAAATTTGTTCCAACTTAACTCCAACAAGCAGCACCCAGTACACAGAGCACCAGCCCCTCACTGATCCTCCTGCAGGAGCTGAGATCTTCCAGCGGGGGCTTCAGGCAAAGTGGGGTTAAGTGTCTTGCTCAAGGACACAACGACAGCAGTCATCAGCGGGAGTCGTGAAGTAGGTCTTGTGGTGGGCTCGACCCCACGACCTTCAGGCTCAAAGGCCAATGCTCAACTGAGCCACTGTCGTCTCAAACTTAACTTTTTTTTGCATATAAACACCTTAAAACTTGTTACAATTTACAAAACTGAAGAAGTTAAAGTAGTTCATAGAGGGGAGACAGTGATGCCCTCGGGATGTGTGTGTGTGTCAGTGTCAGTGTCAGTGTCAGTGTCTGTCTGTCTGTCTGTCTGTCTGTCTGTCTGTCTGTCTGTCTGTCTGTCTGTCTGTCTGTCTGTCTGTCTGTCTGTCTGTCTGTCTGTCTGTCTGTCTGTCTGTCGTCTGTCTGTCTGTCTGTCTGTCTGTCTGTCTGGTCTGTCTGTCTGTCTGTCTGTCTGTCTGTCTGTCTGTCTGTGTCTGTCTGTGTGTGTGTGTGTGTGTGTGTGTGTGTGTGTGTGTGTGTGTGTGTGTGATGTATAAGTGTGTGTGTGTGTGCCTGCCTGTGTGTGTGTTGTTTTGTGTGTCTATACCCCATGGTTGGGAGTGGTATACTACGGTATGTGCTCCACATATCAAATTTGTATTGATATAGTGTGTTGATTATTTGCGTTGTATTCTGTATTATTGTGTATTAGTGTAAAGATGTGTGACATTGTGTTTTCAGGTTTGAACTTAAATAAATACATCTATCTCTCTGTGTTTGGCTACATTTCTGTTCTTTGGACCGGGATTGTGAGAAGACACAGGGGAGTACAGGGCATTGTGGGGGATGGAGGTCACCATGAGCCTGGACCATGGAGCCTGGACCATGGAGCCTGGACCATGGAGCCTGGAGCAGCAGTGTCATCTCAGGCCACTCTCCACCCGTGTCTGTGTGTGTGTGTGTGTGGTTTCGCCTGTCTGTATGTTTGGGTGTCTGTGCGTGTATGTGTGTGTCTATGTCTCTGTGTCTGTCTGTATACAGGGCATTGTGGGGGATGGAGATTTATGTTGCTGGTTGTGAGGCTGTATGTCACCATGGAGCCTGGACCATGGAGCCTGGACCATGGAGCCTGGACCAGCAGTGTCATCTCAGGCCACTCTCCAGCCGCAGCGGTCAACCAGTAACGGATGCACATTAACAGATTCCACATTGGATAAAAAACAAACACTTCGTTCACTGGAAAAAATATCCTTTGAAAAAATGTTTGAAAATAAGTAAAACACTGCTTAAAATAATAAAAAGATATCTACCAATAGAACAAGAAAGACAAGAAAATAAAACTAGCTCCAAACGACTTGATTCTAGTAACATTCTAAAAGATACATTTCAAGTAATATTTACTTATCTTATCTTAAAATATAGCATCACAAACTGCTATAGTTAAAAAGTCGTCTGGAAATAAGACAAAAATACTTTAAAACGTACTGTTCAGACCTTTTTCTGTATTATATTTAATTTGTCGCATGACAAACTACATTCAAACAACAAACATAAGCCAAAACAAAAATAAGCATAATTTATGTTGTTTTTATTGAATAAATATGACCAAGATTTGACTTTTTTCAGTGCTGCAACATTGACCAAGTTTGATCCACTTTCCAATAATGTCCATCTTTTTTGTTTTTGCAGTGTATCATGTTCTCCAGTCCCTTTGTCATCTCCTTCTGGTCGTGGAGGACAGCCATATTTAGCCTCATCTGATTTACCAATTGTTTTTGCCACACCGCTTTGCTTCACGTGCAATTCACCCCCCCACCCCCCCCCCCCCTTCTTTTCCCTCCTTAACGCTTTCTGGCATCGCTGTTGCCATGGCGCCCGAGCAAGCCAGCTGTGTTGCCTCTTCAGTGACACACGGACACGACACGCTAACGCAGACGGAGCGCTCCCACTGGTATCAGGATGAAGTGGTCGTCAAGCCTCATCCACCAGTGCTTTCCATCGGAGTAGTGGGATATTTTCATTTTTCTCAGTCTCAAAACTGTGATTTATTGACAGGAAGTAAAGCTGTGACTTGTTGCCATGGCGCAGAGGGCGAGCGAGTTGTTATGGGTAAAAAAACGACAGACGTAAGAGAACAGAACAATATTGAGAGGGATGCTATAAGTGGCGAGTGCGGATGTAAGCAAGAGCAGAAGATTATTTCATTTCAAGGCAATAGGTGGTTTTAAAGCTTGGGTACTTAACTTTACAATCCACAAATAAAAAGTGGTGATTTCACAGTCTCACTAGTTTATCTTTTCAGCTTCTGTCGTCAGATTTTTTAGACAGAAACGTGAGAAAAGAGAGGACCATCTTCACCTGTTTTGCAATATTTACTTATTTCCTTTTTTTAAACGTATTTTATTTTATTTAACACCGAGTAAAATGGTAACAGTTGAAAAAAAAAATTACAATTAATCCCTCTATCTCATGCCTCCAGGGACTGGAGGCATGAGATAGAGGGTCCCAGTCCCAGCAGGAGACCAGTCCCTGTGCCCCTCAGAGTCCCAGCAGGAGACCAGTCCCTGTGCCCCTCAGAGTCCCAGCAGGAGACCAGTCCCTGTGCCCCTCAGAGTCCCAGCAGGAGGTCAGTCCCTGTGCTCCTCAGTCTCAGCAGGAGGCCAGTCCCTGTGCCCCTTAGTCTCAGCAGGAGGCCCGTCCCTGTGCTCCTCAGAGTCCCAGCAGGAGACCAGTCCCTGTGCCCCTCAGAGTCCCAGCAGGAGACCAGTCCCTGTGCCCCTCAGAGTCCCAGCAGGAGACCAGTCCCTGTGCCCCTCAGAGTCCCAGCAGGAGGTCAGTCCCTGTGCTCCTCAGAGTCCCAGCAGGAGACCAGTCCCTGTGCCCCTCAGAGTCCCAGCAGGAGACCAGTCCCTGTGCCCCTCAGAGTCCCAGCAGGAGGTCAGTCCCTGTGCTCCTCAGTCTCAGCAGGAGGCCAGTCCCTGTGCCCCTTAGTCTCAGCAGGAGGCCCGTCCCTGTGCTCCTCAAAGTCCCAGCAGGAGGCCTGTCCCTGTGCTCCTCAGAGTCCCAGCAGGAGGCCAGTCCCTGTGCTCCTCAAAGTCCCAGCAGGAGGTCAGTCCCTGTGCTCCTCAGTCTCAGCAGGAGGCCAGTCCCTGTGCTCCTCAAAGTCCCAGCAGGAGGCCTGGCCCTGTGCTCCTCAGAGTCCCAGCAGGAGGCCTGTCCCTGTGCTCCTCAGAGTCCCAGCAGGAGGCCAGTCCCTGTGCTCCTCAGTCTCCGCAGGAGGCTCATCCCTGTGCTCCTCAGTTACTTCATATGGCACTAACATGTCATGAATGTTCTTTGGTGTGAGGCCGTGGAGAGAGCTGCTTTACTTCCCTTGAGTTAGAATATGTAGCATGTAGCCTCATGCTAGCTCCTCCGTACACACATACATACACCGTACATCCCCTTTAAGAAGTCTCTGAGTCCTGTGCGACCCTCCGTGTACATACAGCACTTCATAACTCCACATGTTTGCACAGCTCTGTACACAGCCGAGGCCTGTGATGCTGCTGATTGTAGCTCACCTCAAGCAAATCCAACTCTATCAAACCCTGACGCCGCGGCCCCCGCTCCTCCGACACTCTAAATATTTGTCCGCTATTATAAACAAGCCGACCGCTGGAATGTGCGCTACGTGAATGACAGCTATGCCGTTTTATCCCTCCAAAGATTAAGCAGTTGTTTCGTCCAAATATGTACAATGGGACGGCTGGCTCGCGGTGACAACAAGTACGGCAAAATTCTGGTTTATTTTCAGATTTAAAAAATAGGATTAAGGAGAAGATGCCTGAAAGACACAAAGACTAACAATAGATGGACGGTTTTGGACTAGCTTAAACCGTCACTCCATACACTTCAGTATGTAAACTACAGTAGCCACAGCTGCCCTGGGGCACACTGACAGAAGCGAGGCAACCAGTCTTTGCCATCGGCCCCTCCCACCACCACCACACACACACCAGACTCATTCTAATGTGGGGGAAGTGTCTTGCCTAAGGACACAAGAACAATATGGTGATTTTTTACAGCCGCAGCCGCCCCACTGTGGCACCTGCTGTTCCCAAAGGTCTCCCATCACAGTACTAACCAGGCACTGCCCTTCTCAGCTTCAGAAGGGTATTTCTCTGATCCCGCTGATGCAACACGTGCATGACACCATACAATGAGATACAGGGGACTTGCAATTCAATATATGTTTCTAAACCAGGGCTACACTGCAAAAAATTGTAAAATATGAGGTAATAAATGCTTGAATCGAATGTTTTTTTTAATATTAATTTAAGCACATTCTGACTGTGATAAAACCAGATTCTACAATGGGACAAAGATATTTAGTCTCATTTCAAGAACTGTTACTTTATTTTCTTATTCCAAGGGAGACATGTCTGTATATTATTAAACTAAGATCATTTTCATTTTCATATTCATATTCATACTATAATGGCTCAAAATGTATTCATTCAAGATCAGGTTACATTAAATTCTAAAAATCCCGGACCCTTTGAGCAGCGACCAGAGAGAGCCCTGTTCAAAACTATACGATTGAGTCAAAAAAACCAAAACCTTTTCAGTCTCAGAGCTGTGAGTTGTTGCCATGGCGCAGAGAGAGTTTCATTATGGGTAACAACGACAGACGTAAGAGAACAGAACAATATTGAGAAGGATGCTTTTAGTGCTGAGTGCGGATGTAAGCAAGAACAGAAGATGATTTAAATTAAGTGCATTTCCAGCTTGTTTTAAAGCTCGGGTACTTAACTTTCAACCCCCAAATAAATGCAATTTATTAGAATGTAAAAAAAGTACAATTTTTCAGCACATCCCGAGTTATAGTAGTGAGTAATAGCTAAAAAAACAAGTCTTGACGTGCAGGGCTGTGGCGTGCAGGGCTGAGGCGTGCAGATGTGAGGCGTGCAGGGCTGAGGCGTGCAGGGCTGAGGCGAGGCGGGCAGGGCTGAGGCGTGCAGGGCTGAGGCGGGCAGGGCTGAGGCGGGCAGGGCTGAGGCGTGCAGGGCTGAGGCGGGCAGGGCTGAGGCGTGCAGGGCTGAGGCGTGCAGGGCTGAGGCGTGCAGGGCTGAGGCGGACAGGGCTGAGGTGTACCGGGCCGAGGCAGACAGGGCTGAGGCAGACAGGGCTGAGGCGTGCAGGGCTGAGGCGTGCAGGGCTGAGGCGTGCAGGGCTGAGGCGTGCAGGGCTGAGGCGTGCAGGGCTGAGGCGTGCAGGGCTGAGGCGGACAGGGCTGAGGTGTACCGGGCCGAGGCAGACAGGGCTGAGGCAGACAGGGCTGAGGCGTGCAGGGCTGAGGCGTGCAGGGCTGAGGCGGGCAGGGCTGAGGCGTGCAGGGCTGAGGCGTGCAGGGCTGAGGCGTGCCGGGCTGAAGCAGACAGGGCTGAGGTGTACCGGGCCGAGGCAGACAGGGCTGAGGCAGACAGGGCTGAGGCGTGCAGGGCTGAGGCGTGCAGGGCTGAGGCGTGCAGGGCTGAGGCGTGCAGGGCTGAGGCGTGCAGGGCTGAGGCGTGCAGGGCTGAGGCGTGCAGGGCTGAGGCGTGCAGGGCTGAGGCGGACAGGGCTGAGGTGTACCGGGCCGAGGCAGACAGGGCTGAGGCAGACAGGGCTGAGGCGTGCAGGGCTGAGGCGTGCAGGGCTGAGGCGTGCCGGGCTGAGGCGTGCCGGGCTGTGAGGCGTGCCGGGCTCAGGCGTGTCGGGCTGAGGTGTGCTGGGCAGAGGCGTGCAGGGCTGAGGCGGACAGGGCTGAGGCGTGCCGGGCTGAGGCGTGCCAGGCTCAGGCGTGTCGGGCTGAGGAGAGCCGGGCTGAGGTGTGCTGGGCAGAGGCGTCCGTGTCACCCCGGCCTGTGCTGCGACAAAAGACTCAAGTGTTTTCCTTGTTTGAAGCACGGATCAGATGTTGCACGCGTGAAGACACTGTTTTCAAAGCCTTCATGTGTCTTTGTGAGAAAGAGTTTGCAGAGTGAGGAATCTTGAAATGATTATCTGAAGAAATGGGTTTCCGCTTATACCAGGGGCGTCCAGACCGGTTCAGAAAGGACAGCTGTGACTGCAGGTTTTCTCTCAGACCCAGGAGCAGAGCGGACTCCGCCCATTCCCACAGGTGAGTTCAGTCTTAACCATAGACTGTAAATATTAACAGACTTAGTCACGCCTATCTCCGCCGTTCAAACTCGTGTGACATCACTTTTACGGGGGCAAGAAAATGTGAAAAAACATGTGCAAAACACAACCAAGATCCACTTTTGGACCATCCTATAAAGACGTTTTCAAGAGGTAAGAAAATGCTATATGTCAGAATAATTTCAAGGAAAAAGACAAATTTATATTACTTTCTACAAGGAGTAAACATCAAAGGGTGAATATGCACTGTCCCTTTAATAAATAAATAAATTGATAAATACTATGCAAGCTTCTGTGACATTGCAATTTCCCTTGTGGATTAACAAAGTCTGTCTAAGTCTGAGTCTAAGTCTAAGTCTGAGTCTGAGTCTGAGTCTGAGCCCATCCGAGGCCCAGACATGGCACCAGCGTATACTTTTACACTGCTTATATGTTGGTGTTTATTTGCGTCTGGGTGGTGCAGGATCCTGGGGGTTGACAGATCCTTCTTATCCCTGCGCCTCCGGAATGCAGCAGGAATCCTACCCCATAACCCCCCCCCAAATAATCAGTTGCGTGCACTGGGGTCGGACAGCTGCAGGGATCCTCCGAGTGTCTGCGTGTTGGAACTGGTTGGGTTCGTACGTGACATTAGACATGTGGGAGTTTTAAAGTGGGACATGGAGCACCCAGAGGAAACCAGAGCAGACACGGGGAGAACATGCAAACTCCACACAGAAAGGCCTGGAAGTGGAATCGAACCCAGGACCCAACCCCTGCAGCACCTCTATATGTTTTTTTTTTAATCATTCCATTTCTCTGATCTCCGGCGAAATCTTCTTGATATAGAGCTTTTCAAGAACTCAGAGAGATTTTACAGATCAGGACATACACACACATACACACACACATAACACACACACAAAGAGAGTTCCAGATGTGAAGGGAGAGAGATCCTGAGGTGAGGGGGAGAGAGATTCTGAGGTGAGAGGGGGGGAGATCCAGAGGTCCCTCAACTCAGTTCGCATCAGAAACTATTGTTGTGATTTAGGGCTACACCAAAATACATTGAATTGAATATAATTATAAATACATATCTATCTATATACAAACATATCTATCCAGACAGAGGATAACTGGCCGAGTCCCAGACAGAGGTAAACTGGCCGGGCCCCAGTCGGAAGATAACTGGCAGGGCCCTGGATAACTTTCTGGGCCCCAGCCGGAGGATAACTGGCCGGGTCCCAGTCGGAGGATAACTGGCCAGGCCCCAGTCGGAAGATAACTGGCCGGGCCCCAGTCGGAAGATAACTGGCCGGGCCCCAGTCGGAAGGTAACTGGCCGGGCCCCAGTCGGAAGATAACTGGCCGGGCCCCAGTCGGAGGATAACTGGCCGGGCCCCGGATAACTTTCTGGGCCCCAGCCGGAGGATAACTGGCCGGGTCCCAGTCGGAGGATAACTGGCCGGGCCCCAGACAGAGGTAAACTTGCCGGGCCCCAGACAGAGGAAAACTGGCCAGGCCCCAGACAGAGGTAAACTGGCCAGGCCCCAGACAAAGGAAAACTGGCCAGGCCCCAGACAGAGGTAAACTTGCCAGGCCCCAGACAGAGGTAAACTGGCCGGGCCCCAGACAGAGGTAAACTTGCCAGGCCCCAGACAGAGGTAAACTGGCCAGGCCCCAGACAGAGGTAAACTTGCCAGGCCCCAGACAGAGGTAAACTGGCCGGGCCCCAGACAGAGGTAAACTTGCCAGGCCCCAGACAGAGGTAAACTGGCCGGGCCCCAGACAGAGGAAAACTGGCCAGGCCCCAGACAGAGGTAAACTTGCCAGGCCCCAGACAGAGGTAAACTGGCCGGGCCCCAGTCGGAAGATAACTGGCCGGGCCCCAGTCGGAGGATAACTGGCCGGGCCCCGGATAACTTTCTGGGCCCCAGTCGGAGGATAACTGGCCGGGCCCCAGTCGGAGGATAACTGGCCGGGCCCCAGTCGGAGGATAACTGGACGGGCACTGGCTCTTCTTTCCCTCAGTGTTTATGAGCGCGGCCTGTTGTGATCCGGGATCTGCAGCGTCTGCGTCACGGCCTTTGAACATATAAACCATCTCTCGTGCTTACGTTAGCCGAGGATGCTTTTCTTTTCCCTTTGTCCCTGCCTCCCGCCTCCTACGGGCAGGGTCAGCGCCGTGTTTACATCAGCGGCCTGTTGCTACGGCGACGGACGGAGCGAGCGGCATGGAGAATGGAGGAGTGCGAAATGCAAAAAATGATGCTGTTTAATAGTGGAAAAAAGTGCAGATGTGAAGCCAACATTCTGGATTGTTGATGGATTGTTGAAGAACGTACTTTATTCTCAGTCCTGACTTTATGCACATGTGGTAATGTTTTAGGGAAGTATGGATCAATTTAAACAGTTTACAATAAAAAAAGTGGACTCCATAGACACATTCTGTTCTTTGGTCTTATAAGATTAGGAGTAGGATAAAGTGCTACACAGATCTGCATGAATGAAAAACATAAAAAAGAACATTACAGGTGTTTTATATACATCGCTATGATCAGTGACATTTGGAATCATGGTTTAGAACATTCTTAATCCTGTAGAAATGAGAAAGCTGCATTTCAGATTCATGCAGCTAAAATCTGGAACAATCATCTTGAAAATGAGAGACAGGCTTCTTCTCTGACAATGTTTAAATCCAGGTTAAAAACAGTTCTGCTACATTAATGTTTATGCTATCTTGATTTGTTCATCACTTTGAGTTGCCTTGTGTATGAACTATACGGATAAACTTGCCTTGTCTTAAAAATCTGCAAATCTGGATCTGCAGCCCAAGCCTTTTAGGAATTTTTATATTTGTCTGTACATATTTTTATTCTGATGTTTTAATTGTGTTTTTACCTTACTGTAGCACCTTGAGTTGTGTTTGCATATGTAAGGCATGTAATAAATAAAATCTTTTATCAATGTTATTATTATTATTATTATTATTGTTAATATATCAGCTGTGCTTGTTACAAGTCTCTCCATGGCCTCGCACCAAAATATATTAGTGACATGTTAGTCCCATATGAACCAGCCCGGACTCTGAGGAGCACAGGGACTGGACTCCTGTTAGTGCAGAGTCAGAACTAAACATGGGGAGGCTGCTTTTCAGATTCATGCTGCTAAAATCTGGAACAGTCTTCCTGAAGATGTGAGACAGGCCTCCTCAATGACAATGTTTAAAACCAGGTTAAAGACAGTTCTGTTTAGCTGTGCATACAACTGAGGGATTTTATATTTTTCTTTCTTTTCTAACCCTATCTTGTTTTGTTCACTTTGAATTGCCTTGTGTATGAATTGTGCTATACAAATAAACTTGCCTTGCCATCTTGCTCAAAAACACAGTGTCTCATTTCCGCTGCTCAAAAACAAGGGAGTTGTGCCCAAAAACCCTGGATTGCCACTCCCTTTCTCATGTCCGGGTTGTTAAAGAGCGACTAAACACCAAATCAACTTTTTTTGACTCATAAACTGCATAAGTATGTTTATTGTAGTGCTGTCTACATATCCTGGTCATTCTTTTGACATTTTAGTTCAAATTAGATAAAATATCACTTTTGAGCCAAAAAACGCTGTGTGGCGCCCTCTCAACCTTTTTGGTGGTACTACATTTGAATTTGGTCCTGGCCTCTCCATTGACTCTGAAGTTCTCTATGACATCAGTTGTTTTGTGTGACGTCAGTCTGTCAGAGCCAGTGATGTGAACCCATTCAACTCTCACACACGTCCCAGCTGCAGTTTGGAGTATTCTGGCGCCATCTAGTGGATTAAAATTAAATTACATGAGTCATTCTGAGATTATTGAGTGTGATTAGGTTCAGGTGTGTAGCTTCACAATTATCTGAGTGTGTAAACAAGGGTGGAATGAGACTTGCTGGTCTGTAAACTATTGCTTTAAGCAGCAATGACAACTGTCTGGTTTTTTTTTTGTGTGACAAGTGAGCTGTCAATCACAGCCCAGACCACGCCCAACTCTAAGCCCCCCTTCTTGTCCCTTAGTCCTCCAGGCAACGCCCTTTTTAGAGAAAATTTTCAAATCTTCATGTGGGCGGAGTAAGGCTGGGCACAGTTGTTTAGTCGCTCTTTAAGAAGAAGAAAGGGGTCCTTTATTCGTCCCACAATGGGGAAACTTCAGTTGGATGCATACACTCACACATATACAGTACATATACACATACACATCAGGCAAGCAGCGAACATCACTTCCGCGTTCCTTATAGGCAAAGTGGGGTTAAGTGTCTTGCCCAAGGACACAACGACAGCAGACATCAGTGGAAGTCGGTGGAGAAGGTCTCGTGGTGGGCTCGAACCCACGACCTTTGGGCCACTGCACTGTTGCGGCAAAATGACTCGGCATTCAACCCGTCTTGCGACTTTTATTTTGCCAAAGTTTGTTCTGTGTGAATACTTTGACCAAACATGGCAGTATTATAGACCAATAAAACCAAAGTGTTTTATAAAACTACGCAGAAGTCAAGCGGGGGAAGAGGGTTGCATAATATTGACTTAACAAGTGAGAAACCGTGAAACAAGAGTTAAGGCCAAACCATCAAAGTCGGGGCTTAGTTTTTCGTTTTAAACTTTTACTTTGAAAAATTATGTTTGAAATGTGTTTATATGAAGTCCTGGGTGCACATGTGTGAGGACTTTAGAAGACTTATTTTAAAACTATCTTATTTTGAAATGTTCTTATTTTGAAATCCTCTTATTTTGAAATCCTCTTATTATCCATCCATCCATCCATTTTCTTCCGCTTTATCCGTTGCCGGGTCGCGGGGGCAGCAGTCTAAGCAGAGACGCCCAGACTTCCCTATCCACACACACTTCCTCCAGCTCGTCCGGGGGGACCCCAAGGCGTTCCCAGGCCAGCTGAGAGACATAGTCCCTCCAGCGTGTCCTAGGTCTTCCGCGGGGCCTCCTCCCGGTGGGACGTGCCCGTAACACCTCCCTAGGGAGGCGTCCAGGAGGCATCCGGAACAGATGCCCGAGCCACCTCAACTGGTTCCTCTCGACGTGGAGAAGCAGCGGCTCTACTCCGAGCTCCTCCCGTGTGACTGAGCTCCTCACCCTATCTCTAAGGGAGCGCCCAGCCACTCTGCGGAGGAAGCTCATTTCGACCGCTTGTATCCGCGATCTCGTTCTTTCGGTCATTACCCAAAGCTCATGACCATAGGTGAGGGAGGGAACGAAGATTGACCGGTAAATCGAGAGCTTTGCCTTTCGGCTCAGCTCCCTCTTCACCACCACGGTCCGATACAGCGACCGCATCACTGCGCACGCTGCACCGATCCGCCTGTCAATCTCACGCTCCATTCTTCCCTCACTCGTGAACAAGACCCCGAGATACTTGAACTCCTCCACTTGAGGAAGGACCTCTCCACCCACCTGAAGAGGGCAGGGCACCTTTTTCCGGTCGAGCACCATGGCCTCAGATTTGGAGGTGCTGATTCTCATCCCAGCCGCTTCACACTCGGCTGCAAACCGTCCCAGTGCATGCTGCAGGTCCTGGTTTGTTGGAGCCAACAGGACAACATCGTCCGCAAACAGCAGAGATGAAATCCTGTGGTCCCCGAACCGGACCCCCTCCGACCCCTGGCTGCGCCTAGATATTCTGTCCATAAATACAGTGAACAGAACCGGTGACAAAGGGCAGCCCTGTCGGAGGCCAACATTCACCGGGAACAGGTCTGACTTACTGCCGGCAATGCGAACACAGCTCTGGCTCTGGTCATACAGGGACCGGATGGCCCTCAGCAGAGGACCCCCGACCCCGTACTCCCGGAGAACCCCCCAAAGGACACCCCGGGGAACACAGTCGAACGCCTTCTCCAAATCCACAAAGCACATGTGGACAGGTTGGGCGAACTCCCATGAACCCTCGAGTATCCGATGGAGAGTATAGAGCTGGTCCAGTGTTCCGCGACCGGGGCGAAAACCACACTGCTCCTCCTGGATCCGAGATTCGACCATCGGCCGTAGCCTCCTCTCCAGTACCTTGGAGTAGACCTTACCGGGGAGGCTGAGGAGTGTGATCCCACGATAATTGGAACACACCCTCCGGTCCCCCTTCTTGTAGAGAGGGACCACCACCCCGGTCTGCCACTCCATTGGCACCGCCCCCGATCGCCACGCGATGTTGCAGAGACGTGTCAGCCAAGACAGTCCTACAACATCCAGAGACTTTAGATAATCAGGGCGGATCTCATCCACACCCGGAGCCTTGCCACCATGGAGGCTACCAACCACCTTGGTGACCTCAGCCAGGGAGATGGATGTATCCGCCCCAACATCCTCAGCCTCTGCCTCTGAAACAGAGGACGTGACGGGGGGATTGAGGAGAACCTCAAAGTATTCCTTCCACCGCCCGACAATATCCCCCGTCGAGGTCAGCAGCTCTCCACCCGCACCGTACACGGTGTTGGCAAAGAACTGCTTCCCCCTCCTGAGGCGCCGGACGGTTTGCCAGAATCTCTTTGAGGCCGACCGATAGTCATGCTCCATGGACTCTCCGAACTCCTCCCATTCCCGGGTTTTTGCCTCTGCAACAGCCCGGGCCGCGGCACGCTTGGCCTGCCGGTACTGGACAGCTGCCTCAGGAGTCCCCCGAACCATCATGGCTCGATAGGACTCCTTCTTCAGCCTGACAGCATCCCTTACTGCCGGTGTCCACCACCGGGTTCGGGGGTTGCCGCCGGGACCAGCACCAGAGACCTTGCGACCACAGCTACGAGCCGCCGCATCGGCGATTGAGGCAGAGAACATGGTCCACTCGGACTCCATGTCCCCCTCCTCCGCCGGGACCTGGGAGAAACTCTCCCGGAGGTGTGAGTTGAAAGTCCGTCTGACAGGGGGCTCAGCGAGACGTTCCCAGCAAACCCTCACTATACGCTTGGGTCTGCCAGGTCTGACCGGCTTCTTCCCCTGCCAGCGGATCCAACTCACGACCAGGTGATGATCGGTTGACAGCTCCGCCCCTCTCTTATTATGTTGTTGGCAATTTTAACTTTTTTATTTTAAAGTCCTTTGACATAACTACTGTTGTAATTTAGG